GATGGGGAAATGAAAGGCCAGTAGCACCAAGGTCTGTGTCCCTAAGGTCCCCACTTCACAGCCAGATATGAAGGACCCTTTGGTTTCTTAGTCCCTGTACTTCCTGAAAGGCTCCTGTTTGGATGTTCTTTCTATGAGGCTGCTCCTCTAAGTGTGGTCCCTGGACCAGTAGCATCAGCATTGCCTAGAAGCTTGTTGGAAATGTGGACGATGACCCCTGCCCCCTGACGTGCTGGTAAATCAGAATCTGTGGCTGACTTAAAGTGGCTGGAGCACTGGTTTCACAGTGCACCCTCCAGGGTGGAGGCTGCTGTCTACCAAACAGCCTTCCTAAACTTATTGAGCATGGAAGTCTCCTAAGTGATTCACCAGGTGCTGACTGGTGCTCAGGAGTCAAAAGGAAGGACGCTAACAGTACAGAGCATGTTCCTTCAGAGATGCTGTGCTGCTGCTGCTGCCTCTCTGTCCTGAGATGCTTGTGCATGTTAGGGCATTCCGGCACTGAGAGGAAAACATGTGGCGACCTGGGCACTGCGCTCCTAGTTATTAGGAGGTTCACAACAAATGTCATTTGAGCCTCTTTCAGGGAGTTTGTTTTTCTCTGTCTGTGCTCCCTTGACACCCTTACTCAATAGTCTCTGCTGGATACTCTGTACTAAAGAATGCACCTCAACTATTTGTTGAAGCCTCCCCTTCCTCTCCCCCACACAATCATCTTATATAGGGCCCCAAAAACACGGTCCATAGAATTTTGTGTGTGCACTTAGCCCAGCATTGTGCACTAAATACATGAAGGATGAAAAAAGGAAGGAGCAGGTGATGGATGCAGGCCAGCTTTGTGTGTTGGTGAGGTGACTCCTTTGGTGCTTATTCTCTGTACTTTGCTGTTGGAAGGAGAAAGGACTCTTCACCTATGCAAAGCACAGCTTTGATGTCCTTCTTGGCCGTTGCCCTAGGTCTAGACCACAGTAACTATACCTCCTTTGGATGCTGGTGGTACCCAGGCACTTCTAGCCTTCACAAGGAAGATGTAATGTGGAAATTATCAGACTTTTTAATGATCTACAAGCTCTCCGTTGGTAATTTATAGAAAATAACAACAAATTAGAGGCAGCTTATTGCAATTCGAAAACATTGAGCTGCTAGGGTCATCAGAGAGCCGGCCGGTTGACTGCTCTCTCCCCAGCCTAGATGGAGAGGTGTACCCTGTACGTGAAGCTTTTCAGGGGAGAATCTTCAGTCTTCTCCTTGTTATAGTAGCTGACTCTTCTTGCTAGAACCAATTACAGGAAAAAAATACTTAAGATCCTCCCATCTCTGAGAAGTCTTCTCTTCCCTAGAAGATTGTCTCTCTTCTCCACCCCACACTTCTAAGTACTAAACATGGGCCTCTCTCCTACCCAGGACCCTGATGTCATTTATTGGCAAAGAGAGGCAGAGAGGGTACCTGAAGAGGTTGCTCTTCCTCTACTGATAGATACAACCTTGGGAAAACTCTATTCTCTCGATCTTTTTAACCTCTTTTTCCTCATGTCAGAAGTGAGCATGTATGACCTCTAAAAACCTTCCAACTCCAAAAATCTAATTCTCTAGGTTGCCATTGGGTTAATTTGTAAGGCTATTTCTTCCAAAGGATGTCTTAGCTTTAATGCAGACTATAATAGCAAAAAAGTTGGGGGGCTCTGTGGAATGCAAGACTACCTGAAGAAATCACTGATTTTGGAGGTAATATTTTGGGGCAGGACCTAGTATTTTGTCTACTCTTAAGGCAGCTCCACCTATCATGACTGGTATTTTCGTGTTATTGAAAAGAAGCTAAGAATTGGTTCTGAACAATTTGTGATACCCAGTATTGAAAATTGATATCTTCATCTGTGCTTTGGTTTTCCACACGTGAGTAGACTTGCAGAACATAGCATAATATTATTAGTAGCAGGTATTAAGTATATTATTTAGTATTAGAGGTATTAGTCTCAAGCATTAGGGCAGATTAGCATTTGATGTATTCGTTCTTTGGGGTTACAATTAAGGCTTGAATTCCTGATTGTTCTTATATAATGCATGGTAGTAACTGAATTGTGATTTAATTCTTAATTCCATAATGAGTTCACCAACACTGACAACCCAGTACTAATTAATGACAATTCTTTATTTGCAACTGTGACTAAGAATAGGTGGCTCACATCTTTTGATTATTGTAGACCTTACAGATGAAAATTTCAATTGTGGGCAGCCTTTTCTTACCATCAAATCTCTCTCAGCCTAGTTCTACCAGAAACTGACGAACTAATGGCTTCAAGTCTGTACAATCCTTGCAAGAGATCCTGCCCATCCTTTGCACCCTCAGGCCTGCCTTCCAGAAGCAAAGTCTTTGGTCTGCTGCTATACCCCATGCTCTTCTACACCAGACACTCCATCACTGTTCCAGAATGAATGAGTCAAACATCCATTGCTGAGAACAGATGAGTAGGTAAAATATAAAAAAAATTTCTACTCCTATAATTTATTGTTTGCTTAAGCCTTCTATCAATGTTACTTACACCTGAGTTAAAAAGGGCACTCCTAACCATTTGCCAACATATAGTCATACTTTCAGATGGAGCAGATACACAGCTTCAGAGTTTAAACCCTCAAGCAGCAGCCAGAATTGGAAGTTTCTATAACCAGATGCATGTATTCCTGAAATCATAACACACCTCGCCATCACCTCTCCCCAGTCCTCTCAAAATAAGATCTCTTATCTCGGAAATAAGTGAAAGTGGCATCCTTACTAGTAGCTCTATAGTGTGCTTTTTCCACCCTAGTCTGGTCTCAGATTCAGAGACAAGTGGCTGAGATTTCCCACCCCTCAGCTCAGCTATGCACCTGGCCCTGTTGAACCCCGTGTGTGGATTCAGTTTCCTCTCCGGCACTCTTGGTCCTGCCACTGAGGGTCCACTCTGCTAATTCTGTGCAGTCCGTCCTGCTTTGCTATATTCCCACTCTGAACATTGCTGTGTGTGGCAGTTGACTATTTGCCATGTGAAAAAGTGTGCCTTTAATTCATGAGCGAGTTTCTGTCCACCCACTCCTACAGCGTTAGATGTGATGTTTTGAACTGCTAAAATCAGACACCAGTGTCTGCCCTAAACCTCTCAAATCCCAACACTGGAAGGGATCAAAGCCTTTCTACCATTGCAACAAGCTTCCCACCCAAATCACCCTCCTCTGGTAACCCTCAACACTCCCATTGATGAAGACGTCATCTGCTAGTCACAGGCAAGGAGCTTGGTATGATAAACTCACAAAGCAAGAAAGGACTTGAACTGCACTAGCCAATGGCTGTGTTCACCCTTCCCTCATCCCATCACTCTGGATTCTATCCTGCAAGCCTTCAGAGGAGCTGTATTGAAATACCCCAGGCTGCTTATTTACCAAGGATTTCAGATTCTTGTAGGTTGAAAGATGGTTCGATGATTAAATGCAATATCAAATTCCTCTGTGTGCAACAAATAAGCACAGAAGACTCTTGGGCAGATAAGACATGACCATCTTCTCATTGTCTCCTATTTTCTACCAACCAAGATGCACCGCAGTTAGGGAATAGACTACTTAGTATTTATGTGGCGACTTCCTTCTGAATAAAACCAGGGTTGTCATGCCTACGCGTTATACTCGGAACATGTGGAGCACAGAGAAGTGGTTCCCTATCAAATGATATGCTGCGAAGCGACCCTTCCCAGTGGCAGAAGGCTCTAAGGGGACAAGGGTGCACCATTCTGGCTGGTGTCAGAGCTCCTTTTTAGGCTGGGCAACCAATGCCACATTTGCACCTTTCCTAATTTACCCCAGACAGCGGGACTTTGAGGAATGCTTCCGAAGCCCACCACCACAGCAACAAGGAGCAGCCCCCTTCCAGCAGTTGCCCAGAACGGAGGCTGAAATTCCTTTGTAGCAAGGACTTTCAAATTCTTGTCACAATAGGGGAATCCCCGGTCATAGGACCTGTCTCCATCCTCGCATTTGGGGGAGGTGGGAGAGGAGAGGATGGGTGCAGTCAGAGAACTCTCTTGGAGCATTCCGCCTCACCTCTCATTTAATCTGTCTGTCTGTCCGTCCACACATACCCCTCATCCCCAGTCACCACAGGCATACCCTGACTTGTGTGCATACTGATCAACCAGCCTCCACACAGCAACAGCCCCCATCCATGGACACCGGTGTCTCACACATAGCAGTTACAAAACATCCAGGCGACCCAAGGAACTACGCTCTTTCTTTCTCTTATTTCTCTCATTTTCCCCCTAAAAAAGGCCTTTTAAAAAATGTATTAAATCAAGTAACTTTTTACTCAGATGTTCAGGTGGCTAGAGCAGATTGACAAGGAAAACAATCACAAAATAAATATTTTTGTTTTTTTGTTTTTTTTTAAAAAAAAAAACATTTCCCTATACATTGTCTCTGTCTTGATGGAGCTGCTGTCTTGGACAGAACAGGTGCCGAGGGAAGAGGAGCTCCGGAGGGGCCACGAGGGGAGCCTGGGACTCGGCTTGGAGGGAGGCTCTGGAGGGAGGGGTGGAGGGGCTGAGCCTGGAGGCACCGCCCGCCCCGGGGCCTGGGTTCCCCTGCTGGTTGCACCTCCGGGCCTCCTAAGGAAGCGACTCCAAGAGCAGTGAGCTCGGGCCGGAGGGGACAGAGGAGGCAGTGTACAAAAATGAGGAACCAACGTAGGCAGCCACAGGAACGACATTTTAAGAAATTTGGTTAAAAAGAATACAAAAGTGACTCCGCAGAGGGGAGGAAGAACTCCCTCCCCACCCATTTTTGTCCCCTCTGGCTTTCCCGAGTGACAAGAATCACTTGAAGGGTTTCTGTTGGTTGCATGATGGGCTGGCTCTTCTCCACCTCTTTGGCTCCTCTCCTCCAACTGCATTCATCTGAGAAAGCACCGGCTGCAGGTTCCAGGCCACTGAGCTGCAGCCTCCCAGTGAGGGTGTGTGAGTGTGAGTGTGTGTGGGGGTGTGTGTGTGCGCGTGCACGAGCTCCAGGGCACGTGCATCTGTGCACAGGTGCAGAGGCCGTTTCTCTCTGGCCTGCTTAACCCCAGCTTCAGGGTCCCAGGTCCTGGGTGCTGAACGTCTCCTGTTGGCACTAAGGCAGGGGCTTGGATTCTCTCTGTACCCTGGATTTGGGGATCCTCTCCCTGCCTGGCACTGGAGGAGGTCCCCCCCAGTTAGCTACAGAGTTTGCCCGTCTCATACTCCACAGGATTTGGCAGCTTTGAATTGAAAGCCCTCAGGGAGGACTGGATCCTGCCCACCTCATTGTTGGCCAGCTTGAGCCGATGCCTGAGCAGGCAGGAGAAAAGGTCGAGCCGGACTTTGCCAGGTGGGGAAAGCTGGTTCACCCGGTCCCTGAGCTCAATCAGCTGCAAGAGCGCAGAGTCCTGGGAACCTTGAGTGTATGGGTAGTCCAACTGGAGGATCAAGTCCCGGATGGCATCTGGGTCAAAGGGCAGGCTGTAGCCAAAGACCTGCAAAGTATTGATTTTCATGTAGCCCAAATTCTTCGAGGGGTCCGTCATCTCTAGCGGCTCATAGTAGATTGTCTCATTGGAGCTGTCATCTAGGGACTTGATTCGGCTCCGCAGGTAAACATGGACTGTCTCAAAGAAGGTCTTCCACCTGTTCCCCAAGGTGATAGTCCAGTTTTGGCACTGGGCAGCTGCATCCACGTTAGTCCTTTCCCAATCGGGGAAGTTGCCCTCATTCACGGGCATGAACCAGCTCTCAGAGTGGCTGCCCCCAAAGGGGTTGACGTAGATGGCCATGACAGGCTCCAGGGTGCTGTTCTTGGTGAGGCAGATCTGCAAGGACAAGGCCAACATCACGTGCACTAGCCCAGGCTTATACTTGTTGCTCTTCAGGGTGAGCAGCATGCGCTTCCTCCACGAAGGGTCGAACCAGCTGCCCAGACGCATGTCGTTGCTGATGAAGATGGAGTGGACCTCGATGCGGCTGTCCCGCTTCTGCAGCAGGTACTTCAGCTCCAGGTCCTGCAGGTCCGTCTCCAGCCCAAGAAAGTTCTCCAGGGACTCGGCCACCTCTGGCCGGCACAGCCCCTGGGCCAGCACGTAGCCGGGGTTGCAGCTCCCACAGCGTGTGCTGTTGTCTGGAGCGCAGCGGGCACAGGCGGGCCCTTCACCCAAGGCACAGGGGATGGGGCCCTGGCAGGAAGATTGGTCATAGGGGCAGGTGCAGCTGTGGCTCTGTTCCAGGAAGGTGCCAGGGAGGGTGCTTTCTCCGCAGTAGAGGAGGGACTGGACTCGGTTCCACCAGTAGGACAAGGACCTTGGGGAGGAGAGAGAAAAATGAAGCCAGAGTCAAAAGAAGCTTCACGCCACCAACATCCCTCAGAGCAGGAGGTTCTCCTGAAGACAACACCCCAAGTTCTCTGATGCTGCTCCCCTCTGGACCCACTGAGTAAAGCCAAGAGCTGCCTCTGATGGATCAGCCCAGAAATATCTGACACCAGACTACGAGCAGCCGTACGAGAGCCTCATTCTTTTTTTTCAAAAATGGAAGATCTCCAGCATCTTTAGTATCAAATTTTGGTTTTCAGTCTTCTACATTAGAAGACGCTCCAAATACTCCAACAATTCCTTGCTGACTTCATCCCCACTTCAAGAGTTCTCTCCTTTCTATCGGCTCGGCCGCAGTCCCTCTTCACCAGGACTGGGAATGTCCTACGACTGGCTCTCCTGAAGTTCTGCTACGTCCCCAGAGAGGTCTTTCCTGACATCCTATTCGAAGGGACCAACCTTTTTTTTCATTCAACCTATGGTCATTCTCAGTGTCCAGAATTATTGTGTTTGTGGTTGTTTCCTGGCTTCTAGGCCACGTCCCTCCTGCAAACACAGGGAGACCGGGGCACCGTGTGAGTGACCAGCGTCTTCTCCGAGATCAAGATGGTTTCTGGGAGGTGGGAGCCATTTGTGCTTAGTTGTTGAAAACAAATGAACCCTCTCAAAAATCCTGCTGACCCGTCCTCTCCACTCACCTGTGCGCTTCAGGTAGAGCCCAACCCCTGGACTGCTGTAGCCAGGCTCCCCCTCTAGAGTGCTGTCTCCCCCGTGTGAACCAGACGGTCTCTCTCTCTTCCTGCTCAATCTGCCCAACACGCCCTTCTCCAAGAAGTCTTCCCTCTCTGGTCTGTGCCTCTTAGAGACCATCCCTTTGATTTATGTTCTGCCACAGACAATATAAGTGGCTGCCACCTAGTTATAATTTTTTATGTTTCTGTGTATTTGTTAAACCTTTCCTACTCAATAATATCCCCTGCAGCTAAATAGTCGGCCACGGAATATGAAGTTAATAAGAGCCTTTGAATGATGGCATGGATGGGTAGGTGATGGATGCGGGTGACAACATGGTCCGCTGCGTCTTCGAGGGCCTGGGACTTGGAATTCCTTCTTCCTGTGACCAAAGCAGTCCATTGTTTGGACAACCCAATGAGTCTTTTTTATCCTATGCATTTGGTGTATGAGCTTTAACTCCACCCCTCTCTTGCTTAAAAGACTGGTTAAAATGGAAATGAGTGAGAAATGAGAGAGTACTATTAGAACAGTATTTGAATCTACTATAATTTAGATACAAGTAAAATTAGTCTCTTTCTCTTTCACTTCAGACACCACTCACCATTGGGAACTGCCCTTGTGAGAAGGTCATGGTCATGGGAATCAAATGGCTGTGTGAGTCTCACTCCCTGACCTTCCCTGCTGGACACGGGTCCTCCCTGTCCTTGTGGGCTATTGCAGGGGGCTCACCTCTCCTTGGGAAGGCGGAAGCGAGGCTGCCGGTGGCAGCGCTTGCAGAGGTTGAAGAGGCGGCGGACGATCCGATGGGTCTTCTTGAACAGCACTTTCAAGCTGCCTCCCAGCTGCTGGTAGCGGTGCTGGAGGCCAGTGTCCATGGCCCAGAACTGGGAGATGGCTGTGGAGTTCAGGAACCGGTCATCGGGCAGCCTTTTCAGCAGGGCCTGGAACTCTTCTGTGGGTGAGAAAACAGGAGCTGACGGAGGCCCGGCTGTGCCGAGGGCTGGGGGGCAGCGGTGCTCCCAGACCAGGGACCCCTGCGGATCAGTGCATGAAGAAGGAGGCTCACGTCCATGTCCTGGGTTCTTTTGCCATTTTACTAATTATAGCTTTATTGATAAACAATGAACACACCACAAAACATGGCTTCAGGAGTTTTCAATCCTTCCTACCCCTTTCTGAATTTCAAAACAGATCTCTGCCACCACCTGGAGGGCCAGAGGTCCTGCTCTTGGTCATGGCTTTGGGCTGCATCTCTTTCCCCCTTGACACCTCCCTGTGAGTATCTGCAGTACCATCTCAGGCTGATCTTCAATAACATGGGGACGTCCTGATGGACGCGGGGAGCGTGCCACAGGCAGGCCAAGGACAGTGCCGTGCTCGACTCAGAAATCTTGGAGATCTTTCAGTCCCTGCCAACAGGCTCTCCTTGCACACCCTTCTCTCTGCCTCCCGGTCAGATGGCCCTTCTTTCCTGTGGCTCATCTGGAAGCCCTGTGCTTTGGGGCTCGGGTTCCCTGCTCCTACCCGTGCCCTCCTCAGAGCTCTCTGGCTCACGGTGTTTCTGAACTCATGCTCAGGTCTCTCTCCTGGGCTCTGCTTTTACTTGATGCCTGTAACCATCAGGTTCCCTGGTGGAGGCCTGACACTCTCGTATACTCCTGAGAGTAACTCCCAGGAGTGAAGGTCTGAAATGATGTTCTGGAATATAGCCCACCATCGTTGCCCAAAGCATGGGCTACGTGCTGTGGTGTTCTTCTTAGCTACTTGCCTCAGGTGATTCACACCACCTCACTCTTTCACAGACGGGGAAACTGGAGCATGAGAAGGGGCATCCAGCCAACCCACGGTCTTCAAGCTGGTCAATAATAAGGTAAAGGTGCAAAACCTATTCCTTAGAATCCAGGTGACATTGATATCAGTTATAACACAACAAGCAACCACCCGCTTCCACGGGTGCCACCTGGAGCCAGTCTACACCCTGGGTTTATTCAGCAAGTATTTCTTGTGCCCCTTATGTGTAGGCTCTGTTCTAGGAACTGCAGGATCAGTAGCAAACAAGACCCACAAGCTCTGTCCTCGGTGATATTTATCATAGCTTGTTAAGTCTTTAAAACATTCTTCTTGGGTCGGGATTATATCTACTTACATAAAGAAAAACTCAAGCTTCTGAGACTCTGGGTTCTGATCCTACCTGCTTAAAGCCACGGAGATAGTGACCGAGTTGGGTTCCAAACCAAACCCACCGTGTTCTTGCCATTGCACTTCACAGTCAGCCCCTCTTTGGCAGGGAGGGATTCTGGGCTAGCTGGCCGCTCACCTGACTCCTCAAACTGCCGGTTGTGAGTGGCCCAGGCGTCCTGGATCTGCAGCAAGCTGTCCTCCATGGCCTGGATATCGGCGTCCGGACAGTTGCATTCTGGGAAAGTGGGGCTGCACTTGCACCAGCAGTCACTCTCCTTGCAGACCAGCTCCCCCTCAGAGCTGCACGTGATGTAGCTCAGGGCCGCAGCCACAAAACGCTCACGCAGGTACTCGGGCAGCAGCACCTGCAGGCCTGGGGAAGGGGTGTGTCCAGGAATCACTGGGCAGAATCAGGGGGACTCAGTTTCCCCGATCTGCAGGAACCTGAGCTGGAGTTCCGCTGACTTGTGAGTCCTGGGCTCAAGAATGGTCCCTCCTGGGCCTGATCCCACTATGCCGTTTGGGAGAGAGGGGTATCCCTGCTCCAGTGAACTGAAAATGTGGACAAGGAGCACCAAAGCTCAACAGTTAACTTGACCCCTCACACCAGCCAAATTGAGACTGTGCATATTGCAAGAACAAGCTTGTTGGCTACGTATCAGCATTTCTAGAATGGAAAACAGGAAGATGTTACAGCTCTCATGGGGGAGGAGTCGAGGCTTGAAGGGCCGGCTCTGCCTCTGGCAGCCATCCTATTTCTAGCTTAACTGAGGTTGCAGTAGGCTGCTAGGGCCTTCCTGGATCTGACTCTCCTGGGTGTCCCATCCCAGCCCTGATGACTAAGGAGGCTGCCCTGGTTAGAAACAGTGGCCAGTGAACTTCATCACCTATGCCAGTACCTTCTATGTGTGATTGCTAGTAACACTCATGATCATCATACTGCAGTTTTTATTTATTTCAGTAATGTATTAGAAATTGAGCACAGGGGCATTCCACTGAGCTACCAGCCCAGTTCTTTTTACTTATTTATTTTTATTTTGAGATCAGGCCTCACTGAGTTGCCCAGGCTGGCCTCAAATTTGTGATCCTCCTACTCCAGCCTCCCGAGTAGCTGACATGACAGGTGCACACCCCCGCACCCAGCTATACTGTTTTTTGTTTGTTTATTTGTTTTTGTTTTGTGTGGTGTTGGGGATTGAACCCAGGGTCTTGTGTATACTAGATGAGCACTCTACCAACTGAACTGTATCCCCAGTCCCTATACTATATGGTTTTTATAGATAAGGTGATTCAAGCCCAAAGACAATGGCCTTCCCAAGTCACAGAACTGGTAGAATTTGCTTGGTGGCAGACTCTGTCCTTGTCCCACCATATCACGCACATGGGAATGGCTTCCCCATCCTAATATGATTGAACTCTTAAGGAAACTTGGAAACAGGATGGTGGTCAGTGCCCCCAGATCAGCCAGGACTGATAGATCTGGATGGCTCTCAGATCTCTTCCAACTGGCTTCCTCTAATCTTGGCTATTAAACACTACATTTCTCCAAGCTTCAGTGTTTTTACCCATCTATGATGGATGTCAATTTACCAGCAGCAGAACATACTCCTGGTTGGCTTCAAGCCACAGGCAGGGTAGCTGTTGGAAGCCTACCAATGGAGAATGAAGGATGGTTGTGCCTTGGGATGCAGCCTGGGCCATGGTCAAAGTCAGATCTGCAGGAAGCTCCTGCAGTAGGAACCCTGTGGGACCTTATGCCAGGAGAGCGGGGGATTGGGGGACTTCTGAATATAAGGGCTCCTTTTATCTCAAAAGTATGCTAGCTCTATTTTCACACCCTTGACCTTGACCTTGACCTTGGCAGTAAATCACACTGTCTAAAATGTTTATCCCAGCCTTGGCAGATCTCAAACTCTAACTTAAAATTGTCAGCCACAGTGGACATTTGTTGTTCTTCTTGCTTGAGGTCTGCTTCCTATTCAGAACTGCTCCTGAAGTCCTTTCCTGACTCTGTGCCATCAAGGCACTACAACATGGTCCCCACACACCCTCTCCTTCCACCCCCAGGACCCTCCTCCTCCTTAGCATGTTCTCATTTCCCATTGCTATAAAATAAGTGCCCCGAGCAACATCTGTGTGAGTGATAGCTATAAAATTCAATGGCATCAACGATTCCAAATGAACCACTAGACTTTTTGAACTTTACTCATCACTAATTTCCAGACACACACCCAGCCCCAGCAGGGACGGGGAGGACAGATGCTAATTGTACTAGGTAGCCCTAAATAAAATTGCATTTTACTCTTCTTTATTATGTATTTCTGGATTCCTAAAGCATTACTGGGTCGCATCTGGCTCAGGTTGCCTGGAATTTGTAATCGTAGATCCTGGGTGAGGGCTATTGATTTTGTAATGCTGAGACAATAATATCTTAAACAGAGACCAATTCAGTTAGGCCTTAAGAAAAATGAGCTTTTCTTCCTGACTCAGTTTGCATAGCTCTTCCCGTAAGATGCCTGGGGAACGGAGGGCAGGGAGTGCGGCCTCCCCTCATCTCCAGCCCTCAGACCTAGCATGGTTCCCTTGCCTTTTTCTTTCCCAGTTCTCCTTCTGTCTCCAGTCAAAAGGCTCCAGTTCCTCTCAAACTCTCCTCCTGACTTTGAAGCTCCTTGGAAGACCACCAACTAATAACAGAAAGCAGGAGCCATGCCCAGGTCACTGTCGCAGTAGCCAGTGGTCCCAAAGTTTGTAGATCTCTTACTTGAGCTAAAGGTGGTGACCTCCTAATGACTCTGCAAAGACCAGTTATTCCTCTGCAAGTCTTTAGGATAAAGCAGAGAGACTTTCCGAGTAACAAAGCAGATCACTGAACTAGGTCAAGGCTTCTAAGGGTGGAAGTGCCACTCCTTCTAGGATGGTGTCAGGGATTTTGAGGAGGAATATGAGATGGGAGGATTTAGGTGTAAGTGGTGGGATCAGTGGGTCTTCGGTGGAGGGCATCAGGAGTCTTCTCAAAGGAATGATGGAAAGTTATTAAATATGGGTCCCCGAATTTGTGCCAGTTCTTGTTGCAAGAAGGGCCTCACCGAATGGGAAGGCAGGACCTTTTCTAGTTCTTTGGAGATCTGGGTTTCCCACCAGGTGTAAGCAGTACGAAAACCGTCCCGGAGCTGCTTACCTAGTAACTGCACTTTGTTCTCTGGGCTCTGCACCAGGACAGAGCTGACCGAGTCCAGATTGTCATAGTTGCTGCAACCCAGAGGACCGGTCCTGGTCTCTGTGACCTAGAGAAGGAAGGGGCAGGATACGGATTGAGGAAACAGGAGGGAGCTTCTCCTTCTCCAGTCATCCAATCGAGACTCCCATCCTGTCCCTGTCCAACCAAAGGAACACAGTCACTTTGCTTCCTTGTCCCGAGACAGAGAGTGTCTCTGAGGTATAGCTGGTGGCCCGGTGTCACATTAAGGAGAAGCCTTCCAGAGACAGCTAAAAGGAATCTGTGTTGGGGAAGAGGAAATGCAATGGGGGCTGAGGAAGCCGGAGAAGAGGTGTGACCCGTAAGTCAGAGTCACCCCTTATTCTCCCCCAGAGGAAGGTGGGGGCCAGATGTGGTCCCTGTGAGCCTGCTGCGGAGCCCAGCTGCAGCCACCTGATGTGGGGCTCACAGGCTTTAGGGATCCCAAGAATGGAAAGCACTGGAGAAATATGAGATATGAGTATTATTATTAGTATTAAACATTTAAGTCCCACCTCAACACCGAGATGTCCTTAGAGGAAATCAGCCATGGGCTTGCTGCATATTTTAATAAGTGCATTAAATATACATAGACTCTTATAGCCATGTAATATTGCAAAACACCATAGAGTCATTTTAAAATATTATCAAGTTGGCCCATCAGTTTTCCCTGATGTTTAAAGTATCAGATGAAAAATGGGGAGCTTTAAATGCACTAAAATAATTATGTCATAAGAATGATGGGGACCCAAGGCCCTTTCTTCTCAGGATCCCTGAAGTCTTGGCCAACAATCAATCAACCAATCAACGAGTATTTATTGAGCGGCCACTGTTCAGTTCCACACAATTCATCACACATTCATGGAGTACCTCGCTGGAGTTCTTCAAGGAAGTGCACCCCGACACCTCGGACCTCCTCTTGGAGCTCCAGGCACCTCTGTTTGGCTGCTGCGTGAGCTGCAGTTTCAGCTCCTTTTCTGGGAGGGGCTGGTTCATGTCTGGGCCCCACACACTATGACCTCCACAGAGATGAGCTCATATTATTTTTCTTACCATGTGGTTGACAGCAGCTAGTTCGGTGCCTGGCACACAGTAGGTACTCAATGACTCAGAGAACGTAAGAGGAACGTGTTCTAGGCTTTGCCAGGTGGACACAAAGATGTACCCGTTACACAATGAGTCCTGAGGGTGGGGGCTACTTATATGAGTGACTGACAGAATCCAAGTTGTGGCCGAAGACTGTGTCAGAAGGAGCCCTGAGGAACGTATAGCTCTGCACAGAGGGAAAACAGGAAGTGGCCCAGGAAATTCCGTCTGAGCTGGTTCCTAAGGATGAGTAGAAAGTGGGCAGGAAGGGAGGGGACAGATGGGGCAGCGAGATCTACAGCACCTGGACTCAAAAGTGCACAGCACAGGTGTAGCACCCTGCTGGTCACCCTGGGGCCTGCCAACCCGCAAGCACATCCCAGAGCGGGCTTTGCTTGCACTTTAAAAATGCCCATGGGACGGAGTGGCCGAGGGAGAAGCAGCCCTACACTGACTAAAACTACAACAGGAGAGAGACAGGAGAGATCCTTGGAGCTTCCAGCAGGCCGAGAAGGCTTTATGGAGAGGGGGAGCCGAACATGGTTCTGGAAAGACAAGCAGCCAGGGGAGGGGAGAGAGAGGGAGAGAAGAAAGAAAGGTGACTCCAGTCCCAGACCAAGGGGCAGCACAGACAGCGCCTGAGAGGCAGCCAGACCCGTGGATGAGGAGCAGGACCCAGACCAGGACAGGAGCTCAGGCGGCCTCTCTGCAGTCTTCCATTCCACGGAACCTTCGCAGGAGCTCACGGGGACAAATCTCCCCTCCGCCACCCTCCAGAGAGGAGACGCAGGTTCAGAGAATTGCAGCTCCCGAGACCACAGGGCTAGGGAGGATTTTAACTTTTGAGCCTCTGACTCCAGCTCAATACCTTTCTGTCTCCTGAGAAAGCAGGTCAAAGGGCCTCAGAAAGTAAAGTGGGCTGAAACCACTTAAGATGCCATCACTCTCTAAAAAACAAGTATTCTAAACAGACCAGTCCATCCAATGTATATCCTGATCTGCCGGCTCCTCGGCATGTTGACTTGGGGAAAATAAATTGTATTGACGTGAAGTCAGGATCTGTATCSTTGTATTACAGATCAGGAAACCAAGACCCAGACGAGTTAAACAATGCACCCAAGGTCACACAGCTGCACACCAGCAGGGCTACAATTCATCTGACTCATTCTTTCATTCTTCCATTCACTTATTTGTTTATTTAACAAATGTTTAAGGAATATCAAGAAACCACAGATGAGTAAGACCAAGTCATTGCCTGTATAAAGCTTAGGTAAGTGGAAGCGTGTTTGGGGTCTCCCGTGTGGACCTGCTAGTAGTCACACTGGACTGGGAAGACGAAGCCTGACTCACTCCAAAGCCAAGTCTTCTCTTTCCATATGGAGTAAGAGTTCCTACAAGAAGAGCTATGGCCAAGAGGTAGCCTAGCGACTCTGGGGAAGCCTGTCCTTCCTGGAATAGGGTGGGCTGGACAGCAGAGGTACGATGGTGGGTGTGGTATTGGGAAGACTGGCCTGTCTCTGCCTCCAAGTAAGCTGGTCACCAAAATGTCACTAAGTTTTGTTTCGGCTTTCCCACCCACCCACTCCGGAACCCATCACTCACCAACCAGGTCTAGGCAGGGAGGGAGCTGACAAGCCCTATGTAAAGGTCAGATGTGATGCCAGGAGGGAGACAGGCCAGAGGACAGCCACAATAGGAAGGCTCTCGTCCCCCCCCCACCCCACTCCTTTCCCCACCCAGGGTCCATCTGCTCCCCTCGCCATGTTGTTCGTCATTCTGGAACTGGCCCTGACATGATTCCACAGGAAGACAATGAGGCAGGTCACTGCGAGGGTGTGTGAGCTCTCCTTTGTTAAGTGGATGGGGAGGAGGAAGAGACCTCACCCTGACCCTCACACTCATCTCCTGATGTCGGGGAGCATCAGAGCCAGAGCTGCACGGGTGGGGACGGCTTGGGCAGGTTTCAGGAAATCCTAATGACTTAGCTCTTTTTGTGCCGCTCTCTAAGACCCTCTCTCTCCTCCCCAGGAAAGTAAGGGGATGGGAAGAAGAGAGGGAACCGGCCAAGGTTCCCTGGCAGGTCCTGCCCAGCACTGACTGAGTAAACAGAACAGCTGCGAAGCCCCCTCCTCACGTCGTCCCCAGTGTGGTGAAAGCCACAGAGCTTCTGAGGGGTCCGTCAAGAGAATCCTAGAGTTTTCTCCTAGAGAAGGCAGGGAGCTCTGGCAGACTACAAAGAGGCCCAGAGAGGCAAGGGAAGTGCAGTTCTCTCAGGCCCCATGTTCAAAGAGAGCCTCAGAAAGGGAAGACGATTGTGTGCTAATTGGTCTGTTGACAGAGACCATCCAGCTTCCAGAGAGCCCTGATGGATCTCGGGTTCATTAGCACATCCGATTTCCCATAAATAGCAGATCGTGCAAAAAACCCTCACTCTGGGAGCCCACTGTCCTGCCCCTGTCCTCACCCCCAGACTGCTCTGTCCTATCCTGGGGGACAACTGCAATTGTGCCCTGCGCAGTAAATGCGCTTCTACTTGTGAGCCCTGGGGCTGGACCTGGAGTGCCCAGCCGATGGTGTGTGCTGATCAGGGCTGCAAAGAGAAGCCCAGGCTGCTGCGGCAGGAAGTCCCACAAGTCATTTTAAAGGTGAGGACAGGCTCCCTTTGACCAGCCAGGGGTCCAGCTGAACTTTTGTGTGTTCTCTTCAGTTAGCTCATGAGCATCTCATAATGTCCCCACCAAATCCTTYCATACCCTTTGACTAAACAGAGCTCTAAGGAAAAGTTTCTCTCCAGGGAATTACAGAGGGGACACATATGTGTACAGCCCTTTACAGTTTGCGAGGTGTTTGCATGTGGACTATATCGTTTGGTGTCACTCCAACACTGGCAGAGTCAGAGGTGACAGTCACTGCTGTACCCATCAGGTAGGACAGGAGTGCMTGGACCACCCAGAAGGGAAGCCAGCCTCGGTGCCCAGGCGGAGGCCTGCAGACCTCCTGGGGTGCATTTACCCTTTTTTTGCTGTGAAAAGGAGGCCTGGCGATCCCGGGGCGGGCCCAGGCTGTTAGGGTGGCACACAGGGGGTTAAAGTATATGGAAGTGCTTCCGTGTTTTTAAAACCAGTGCAGCCGTATTTTCTGGGTATAAACGCTGGGTAAATTATCTGAGTGTAAACAGCTGGCCACTAGGGTCATAGAGGAGCGAAATAGAGTTCAAGGACTCCTCAAGGTCATAGAAATAGTAAACGTCAAGGCTCAAGAGTCCAAACCCGACCCTCTGCACCTCAGGAAGTTTGTTTCCCACTAACCTGTAGCCTGCCCTGTAGCTGCCACTGAGCSTCTTTTCACACGCCAGACCCCATCAAGGGGCTGAGGGCCCTGTGCACGAACAGAGTCCTGGGGCTCCGGGATGTACTGTCATCGGTGTGGGATGGAGAGAGCCGCATGTGAACTGCTGAACTGCAAGGTGACAAAACCTATAACAGAAGCGTGTGCTGATGAGGGTAAACCTTGCTACCAATAGCGATGTTCAGTGGGGTCCCAGAGRAAGGTGTTAGATAAACAGGCAGGAGCAGGGCACCTCTTTCTCCACATTAGTGCAAAGAAGTTGCTAAGAGAGAGTGAAAGGTAAGTGCACATTTGCTTTGAGAAACAAAACCAGGCAGATACCCTGGAGGACTTTTCTCTCATGAGCAGAGCCCTCTCCCTCACCCCACCCACCCCATCCAGAGTAATGACTCTTGGCAGCCAGCTCRACCATCGCTAAGGCACGTTCAATAAGGGGAGGGAGGTGGCAGGTGCCACAGCACTCACAAAAGACGTTAGCTAGTGAGGATGTGCTGCGGATGTGGCCAGGGTACTGTCCCTTTCCAAGTGGGTCTTTAACTACTGAGACTTGGAGGGTGGAGGTAGGAGAGGGCGTGACATCAGTCTTGTTTGCYCATGGTTTTATGAGCTGTGCAT